TAGGAGACGCTGCGTGAGTGTTTTCTTCATCTAATAAAGGACTTGTTCCCCAGAAGGCAATCCTGACACACAGTCAACGTGCAGTGGCATTTGAAGGTGTCAGACGCGGAGAACAGGCGCTCTCGCGGAGAACAGGCGCTCTTGATCCTGGAGGTCATTAGTAATTTAATAACACTAATACTTAAACGGTAAGGCGTTTTTGCATGACCAAAACAACAATTCTGATGTTCATAGTGTACTCAGCCTGCTGGTTTGTCCATTCACACACATTTTTATCATCACATGATCTGTTATCACAAAATCACATGACCTTTTTTTTTTACAGTGCATACTGGAATTTGTGCGGTAAAAGTGTTTCCATCGTAGTTTATGCGCATCTTTTCTTATCAAATAAAAAGTTTATCCTACTCAGTTATGTGCATACATTTTTTTTGAGCATTTTCAAAATTGATGCGCATCTTGGCTTTTCCATCAGCCATTTTTTATGCGCATATCCTAAATGCACATAAAAATGGATGGATGGAAACGTAGCTACTGTCAGCTTACTGTAATAAATGCTGTGTCCCAAATGGATTCTGTACACGCGATTTGAAGAGCAGCGAAAGTGGGCACTCTGGGTTTTGGGTGTGTGTTTGAACAAATGTAGATAATGATAATAATAATAATAATAATAATAATAATAATAAATGACAACATCTAAACATGTCGATCTTGGTGGGTTTTCTTTTAAACACAATAAATTTGGTCTTAAATGAGTATAAAAAGTTAGGAAAGCAATCGAATGTTTCAACTATAGCAACACCTCTCTTATTTAATGTAATCAAACGAAAAATCATCTAATGAGATTTGATACCTTGATTAAATTTCTTTATAATAGCTATTAAATTTATTAGGCTAAACTGTTTGCTAATTTGTGATTAATATTGTTCACAATAACTTTGGACGAGAAGTCGACTAGAACCACAAACATGGCAAAAAGAACTAAACTACAAATAAGGCAGACGTGCAAGACCAACCGTTAAGTGGATATGCTTTGATAATGATGTTTGAATGACTGTAAATTAATATCTAACCTACTGTAAAATATTTAAACCCCACTTCCTCCATTATATTTAAACTGCAACATTGTCAAGATGTACAAACAGGCGTTTGGTCTAATTTCTGAACGCATTATTATGCAAACACCTGGGGGGATTTCTCTGCATGAAAGACTCATGAATGGCTGATAAACCTGCTACTGTATTTCCAATATGGGGAGAAATTAAATATGACAGAAATGTGGAAGATGTGTCAAGATGATTGACAAGGCCTATAACTAAGCAACATCTAGTCTATATATGGGTAAGTATTATGTCCCAGTGCTTGTACTTTGCTGTACTCATGTACTTTTTCTTCACAGTACATACTTTAAGTATACAGTGGAAGTCAGAATTACTAGCCCCCTTTAGAATTTTAATTTTTCTATATTTTCCAAATGTTGTTTAACAGAGCAAGGAAATTTTCACAGCATGTCTGATAATATTTTTTTCTTTTAAAGAAAGTCTTAATTTTACTTATTTTGGCTAGAATAAAAGCAGCTTTTAATTTTTTATGTAACATTTTAAGGTCAAAATTGTAGCCACTTTAAGCTTTATTTTTTCGATAGTCTCCAGAACAAACCATCGTTATACAATAACTTGCCTAATTACTCTATCCTGCCTAATTAACCTAGTTAAGCCTTTAAATGTAACTTTAAGCTGTATAAAAGGGTCTTGAAAAATATCTTGTAAAATATTATTTACTGTCATCATGGCAAAGAGAAAATAAATCAGTTATTAGAAATGAGTTATTAAAACTAATATGTTTAGAAATGTGTTGACTAAATCTCTCCATTAAACAGAAATTGGGGAAAAAAATAAACAGGGTGGCTAATAATTCGGACTTTAACTGTAAGTAGGCAAATTGGGATGCAGCAGTAGAATTTATTTCTAGAATGAAGGTCTCGGTAACCATCCTTTAAAATATCTTCTTTTGTGTTCAACAGGAAAAAGAAACTTAAAGGTTTAAAATACATGAGGGAGAGTAAATAATGAGTTAATTAATTTTTTGTGTGAACTATCACTTTAAATACTTTACACCAATTGCTTTAGAATAATACATTTGATAAATAACTGATAAAATGTTTGCCATTCTGTCTGGCATTCATTCAAACATTTACGCAAACAGATGTAGCAGAGTTGATGTTCTCTCTGGGTTTCTGGAACATCATAGGCATCATCACACTAAATGAAGTGAGCAGCCGGCGCTTTTGTCTCTAGACTTTGAGACAGGCTGGAGACTTGACGGTCTTTTATGGTGTTCTTGTTAATGATTTATCAAAGTGGAATGAATTTAATGGAGTCACAAATGCGATCTTACATTCTGATACAACTGTTGGGCTAATAGCTCGTCCTCTGCAGAGCGATTCAATTAAAAGTACCAAGAGGTCCAGTCTCTACATTTTCTTCCCAGCAAATGTCCTAAAAGACAAAGGGCCCTGTCATACACCCGGCACTATGCGACGCAAGGCGCGACACAATTGTTGTTTGCTAGTTTCAGCTTGGCGCAAGAGTCATTTTGACTATTTGCACCACGCTGTTACATAGCAAACGCATTTGTGCTCACTTGTGCGCCCATGGGCGTTCTGGTCTAAAAAAGGAGGCGTGTTGAGGCGCATTGCTGGCATGTTGCTATTTTAAGGAACTTAAATAGATTAAGTTCTTTACAAATGAAAAATAATTAAAATATTAGGTATATATATATATATATATATATATATATATATATATATATATACATACATACATATATATATATATATATATATATATATATATAATATAATAAGGATATATATATATAGGATATAAATCTAAAAAATATTACAAAAATATTATTTTCTAACCTACATAAATATAAAAATATAGTCTTAAGTTGAATGGATATAATTGTAGGCATACAGTAGCTAACAATTCATTGTATGAGTGAAAATTACCAAATTTTATTTTAAGCAAAAATCATTAGAATAATAGGTTAAGTTCATGTTCTATGAAGATATTTTGTAAATGTCCTACCCTCAATGTTTCAAAACCTAAACTTTGAACAGCCATAAAAATTGTTAAGAATTTATTTTGGACAACTTTGCAAATATTTCTTTTTAAATACGCAATATTGTTGTTCAGTATTGTGATGATGTTTCTTACGATAAAACATTTCCCAAGAAAAATGCTGTTTCTAAATCATTTATTTATTTAATGACATCAAAATAAATGGGTAAAAGCTGATTTTCAGATTTAATTAATTTAATGCAAATTAAAAACTGTCTCAAAGTTCAAATCACTTTTGAAAGGTCTTTAAAACACTATGAAGGAGTGAATACCTCAGCAAATATTCTAACTCTTATTGGCTGTTGTCTTTATAAGTATTTATATTCAGCTCTGGGTCCACTGCAAGGCCCCATCTGATTGGTTAAATTTAGATAAGCAACCAAAGCATAAATGTAATTATGTACTATTGTACTATTATTAGTCTGTGATACTTATATTGCATATACTATTATTGCGATATCAATCATTTTGCATTATATTGTGCAGCCCTAATTAACACTTAGGTTCCAGATTAGTTGTATTTCGGTCAAAAAAAATACCAACAAAAAAAAAACCTTATGACTTGACTTGTGGTTATCAAGTCTATTTGGTACTATTTGGTATATTAAATAGCCCAAATTACTTCAAGAGTACTTAATAGTATGATTTGAACAGGTGACTTTTAAATTACCTTATTATCTTTTGGTTATTTAAAATAGAAAAGGATTAACCTTTGAGAAATGATGTGTGATCTGTAACTGATCCCTGGTGACCTCAAAATATATCACAAAATATTTCATCAATGCATTTTTTCCCTATTTGTATCAATACTAAAACTTGGATCACTACTTTCCTTCTTATTATGTTCACATCCGTACTGATTTAAGTGGTGGACACCGATTAAGTAATCAAACTTTAAGAGCATATTTGTCAAGCAATCTAATTTAAACCAGAGAAACTTTTATATGCTCTATGTGACAGCACTGTCTGATTCCTGAATGAGTTTATTAATTATTTTCATTTAACCTGTTCTGCATCAGTTCGATTTAAATGATTCAGTCAGACTCTTTATTTAAAAGGTTCCTGAATTTACACTGAATTGAACATGACTAATGATAGGAAAAGTAAGTTTCAAATGCAGAATTCTATGGTTTGATATTGTATATGGTTGTCCTTAATAGGGGATGACTGTCAGATATGAACTAAATATGTTGAAAAAGTGAGTTTCTCAATACTTGCTTTATGACATTCTTGAATGTGGGCCTGTCAACATTTGTGCATCACAAACAGAAGGGTAAGTTTCATTTGAGTGAAATTAAAAAGGGCTATCTAGGACTTTTTCAACAGTAATGGTACAGTGAGGTATTTGTACTTTTACTTTTAAGTGCTTGATTTTATGTACTTCATCCACCACAGACAATGACTTACATTACAATTTTCACAGACACATTATGTTATAGCTGCTAATTCCAGAACAATTAGATTTACTGTAAATACAAATGCTGTTATGTTTACGTAAATTAAAATTAAACACTGAGAGCTAAAAATCAATTGTTTTGAATCAAAGTCAAGTTACTGACATGTGGATATAATAAAACAGCAAAAGAACTGGCGAAGCTTGCTGATTATTTCAGAAGTTTCTCTATAAACTGACTTTGGTCATGTGATTTGAGCATAAACCCTTTTGTAATTCCTCTGCACCACAACAAAAACTCTGTATATACCACATGTGCTGCTTCAGATGTGACTTCTGTGATGTAATAAATAACTCTACACATCTTGTGAGGTTTACGGTTTCAGGAGGTCACTGATTTCTCAAGCAGCAGTCGTTTACACCAACACTTTCACTAAAACAGGTCAAACCACAAAAATATATGCAAATTTACAGATACTAACCTGCGAGCTCCTCCTTCTTCGAAAGGTGGGATAATGACCACTTTTACAGTGACCGATGTCCTCAGTAGGTCGATCATCTGCTCATGGGAGAGCGTCACTGCAGCAACCTTGCAGATTTCAACCAATCGGCTTCCCTGTCGAAGTCCTGCCTGCCAAGCGAAACCATATTCCTCCACTTCGGACACCGTTCCGTCCAAACGCACATGGAAACCAAGCTGACCTAATCCATTACGTCGCAACGTCATGTCAACTGTCTCACAACCTACAGTCAACGCCTGCAAGGAAAAAAAACAGATATAAAGCTTAGTCCGTGTAAACAGCACAACGCAAACCAATTCTTTATCCCTATTCTAATGCTAATTGTTACACAGAAGGGCATAAAGGATTTACACCATTTACAGGGGGCAGTTTGTGTTTTTATTGCTATCCCAATATAAAATGTCTGTATTTTCCTCTTACTACCCTTGTGAAAAAAAACCCAGCTGAATTACCTACTTTTTTTTGACAAACACCAAGTAAGTGTGGTGATTTATTTACTAAAAAGTATTTTTAGTTTCTAAAAGGAATTCAATAAAAAGTTTAGTAAATCCTTTTAGACCACAGTATAGTTGCAATTTGCTGTAATTTCTATCAGGAAAGTTATATCTTTTGCATACAAAATGGACACTTATATTACCAAAGAGCAAAAAGTTTTTACTTAAATAATTTTGCAACGTTTCAGTAAAGATAGACTGATAGAAAAGATAGAAACGTAAAATGGCACACTGGCATTTGGTTTAGTTGGTTTAGATTTAGCGCAAACGAATATAAAAAGTATAATAATATCTCACTCTCACTTTTCATTTATCTTCGAAACACAAAGCAAGATATTTTAGGTGAAATCTAAAAGCTCATGAACTGGTTGGAGAAAGGTTTTAGATTTGTTCCGGAAAGTCCAGAAACGTACCAAAAAACATAATCAAAGCAGATTTTATGCCTTTAGTTGTTCAATCAAAAGCTTTAAGAATGTTTGTGCGTACATAAAACAAAGATAATGCCATTTTCTCTCTCCTCAGTGTCAGTATAGGGCGCACCTCTGATGTACTGCATTGGTTAATACTTGGCTAGATATCACTGCATAGTGCTTATAAACGTGCAATATAGTGACACTGAATAGAAGAAATTGCTGAATAAAGTTTTGTTTATGTTCGGACAAAAGTATGATCATAGCTGGATATTGTTCCAATTGAACCACTGAAGGCATACGGTCTGTTTTATGGATGTTTTTTTTGTGTGTGTATTTTTATAGTTTTGTACATGCACACAACAACATGAGTATTTATAGTAAATAAACAAATGTAAACATCCTGCTTGTTTTTTGAGTGTTGTTGGGCGAGTTCTTACATCCCTATGATTGGTCACGCGCTCAACAGAAAGAGCTGCGATTAGCTTTAACGCTTTGGCGCTCTTCACAGATGAGTGACACAGATAAATGGCAGCGGCCATCACAGCTGATGATAGATGTGGTGGAAAAAAACTCTCTCTGCAGACACGCACTCATGTCTGTATTCAGAAGTAACGCTATAACAGCCCAGAGGAGAGGAAAAGTTACCTCACGCCAGCAGGTCAAAGGGCCACAGTGAGAGAGAGAGAGAGAAATGGAGTTTATTGTCATTCTCTCACTCTCTGTGTAATAGGGACTTCTGCTGTACTTTAGTGTCCGTGAAAGACTGTCCAGCAAACAGACACAGTGAATTGTGCAGAGTTTATGTTTTTTTTTAAGTAGTGGGAACATTTAATTTACTTTGTATTACTTTGAATTACTATTGGCTCGCTCGCCATAGTAAGCTACCACAAAATAGTGTGTATACGCATAAACCGGTTAGAATCTAATACTGAACTGGTATCCAATTGTCCGCGTTGCATCGAAGAAACAATACATTTTGACACGCCTATGAATTAATAATATAATTTTCCATTTTGGATAAAATAACCCTTTAATTTATGGAGTATACTATACATAATAAAAACTTTCATCTTGACAATTACATAAAAAACAATTATTTTTTGATGTAAGGGGTTACATTAATTAATTTCTTTTGATTTCTGCAGTTTTAAAAAGGCACGGGAAACCTCTTTAAACCTATTATAGTTGTATTAATAAAAAAAAAAGTATTTATAATTTATAAATCCTCACATTTTATCTTCATATGAAAGCTTTTGCTTGAATCACAGATGAGCTATGGAGATTACATTTCTTAGAGAGGTCCCCATGAGAAACAATAGCCATTTGAATAGAACTTTAAGGATGTTGTATGATTCAGTACCTTAAGTCTCTGCAGCACCTCTCTGATATCTTGCGCACTGCCCTCAGGTACCCGTAAGGCCACATGGTCTCCTCTGCCGTAGAAAATCTTCAGTGCAAGTCTTTCTGCCGTCCAGCCAATCACGTCAGAGCAGAAACAGTTAAACACCACCTCTTTGGTGGAGCAGTCCGCCAGCACAACATACTCGTTGGAGATGGCTAGAGCACAGGGAAGCTCGGCACCTCCCCCGCTAAAGTCCTGCGCAAGTACGCGCCAAACAAGGGCTCCGGTGGCACCCATTTCTGCTCCTTCTCGAGCTCGAACCCGTTCCTTGCGTTTGGAGGCCAGAGAGATGAGATTGTTCAGTTTGCCAGCAGTGTCTAACGGCGTAGTGGAAACACAGTTTTCCGCCAGGTCCCGCAGGTATCCCTGGCGCGTTCGGGTTGCCATAGTGTGGAACTTCTCTGATTTGTGAGCCGCATTTTCAGCATTAATGATCTTGGCCAGAAGAAAAGAGCGGAAGGCAGCAGGGTCACGAAACATCATGCCATTTGAAGGTAGTGGCGGACCAAACGGAGGGACGTCCTTCATGCGGGTCACTGCCACACTATAGGAAATAAGAAAGAGATGATTAATTACTCCAACCAATCAAAACAGAGCTTTTACTCGCTGAGCTGTGCTTTCATCACATATCTCAGTTATCATCGGCTACGGGCCAAACATGTAAGAAAAGGGTTGCTATGGAAACAAGGCCAACCTGTAGCAGGTGTTGTCAGAGCAAGGGTTGTGCACACGGACAATGACAAACACGTGCTGGAAGTGAGAGCGGATATTCTGTGGGGTGAATGGAAGGGCTCCCGGCTCCTGGAATATTATTGTGACTATATCATTTCCTATGTGCCTCTTCCTCAGGAGCTGTGAGAGAAATGGAAGGGAGAACAAGTGAGACATTCCATGAAGTGAAAACATTTTATTGTTGTTGAGAAAATGCTGCCACAATGCTAATGTGTTGCTTATGTTTGCCAGTATGTTGCTAAGGTGTTCTGAGTGGTTGTAAGTGCATTACTAAGCAGTTTACTAGAGCTTTTTAGGTTAGTGCTAGGTGATTTCTTGTCTCAGGCATTGACGCATTTATGTGCACATTTATGTTTAACAACTATGCTATAGTAAAAATAAAACTCCTAACTGCATAACATTAAGTTCCCTCATGCGTACAGTTAAAAATACAGAAAAGATTGGGATATTTCATGTGATTTCCAACAATAAAACACCATAAAATACAGTCAATTTAGTATGTGTGTTAGGGCTGCACAATACATCGTTTCAGCATCAACATCGCAATGTGATCATTCGCAATAATCACATCACAGAATAAGCACTGATTTAAAACTGATCATTTCGCAAGGATTTTTTGGAGGCCTGTGACTGATTTTAAATCAGTTGAAATTGTGCAATTTATAACTTAAATCGATAACGATTAATTTGATTGAATCATTTATACAACGAAGACTATGCAGTATATTTAATAATTATTTTTTAGGTTTTTTTACCTTTAATTTTGAAAGAATAGTGGAGGTCACAGACAGGAAAGTATTGGGAGCCGAGACCAGGGAATGGTCAGGAAAAGACCATGAGCCTGGAATAGAACTCGGGTCGCAGTGAGCACCATGGTGCTATATGTCAGCACACTTAACCACTAGGCCAGGGGTGGCCAACCGTGTTGCTGGAGAGCCACCTTCCTGCAGATTTCAGTTGGAAACCATATCAATCACACCTGCCTGTAATTATCACGTGGTGTTCAGGTCCTAATTAATTGGTTCAGGTGTGTTTGATATGGGTAGCAACTGAAATCTGCAGGAAGGTGGCTCTCCAGGAACAGGGTTGGCCACCCCTGCACTACGCTATTGATGTCGATGACTATGCAGTATTATTTTACATTTGATTATTTAATTAGACTCCGCAGAAAACAACAACACGTTGTTTATTGTTATTTAATTTGTCTGTTTTATTTATTGAATTCATCTATGGTTGTATATTGTTTGTTACATTTCATGGCGATGCAGGCCTATACCGAATCATTTCCAAATAATTATTCAAGTCATCTAGTGAAATTGTATTTATATGGAAATATATCAATATGTAGATTTTTTTCTAATATCGTGCAGCCCTAATGTGTGTGTATGACATGATGGCCACATTTTAAGGTTTTACTTAGCAAAGTAAAGAAAAAACTGTACAAAAGCACGCACATCTCTCTTAATTGGGTGCTCAGCCAAAACCGCAAAAAGTGCAAATTAAATGTAAATCAAAGGCGGCAACACCAAGGCTCCAAAAATACAAATTTATTAAATTAAAAAGGCTGACACAGAGTGTGTTATGTTTCGAGTCGCCGGCTCTTCATCAGACAAATTTTATATACTTCATCAAGTATTTTTGGAGCCTTGGTGTTGCCGCCTTTGATTTACATTTACTTAGCAAAGTAACATATGATAAACTTATCTATATCATTCATTCATTTTCTTGTCGGCTTAGTCCCTTTATTAATCCGGGGTTGCCACAGCGGAATGAACCGCCAACTTATCCAGCAAGTTTTAACGCAGCGGATGCCCTTCCAGCTGCAACGCACCTCTGGGAAACATCCACACACATTTACACACACACTCATACACTAGGGACAATTTAGCCTACCCAATTCACCTGTGAGGGGTGAATGTGTGGAACCCAGCGACCTTCTTGCTGTGAGGCGACAGCACTACCTACTGCGCCACTGCCTCGCCTTATCTATATCATACAATTATAAAATATATTAAGACTTTCATTAACATTTTACAAGGGCTAATGGACCTTCTAATGGATCTTCACAAGACTGTCATGATGCGTTAAAGGTCATCATAATCTGAAATTCTTTAAAGTTTTGAATATTTAGATTTTTGAAAAACCTATGAACATTTATATGCATTTAAGAATGCATTATTTCACCTTTGCGTCAAATTACAAAAAAAGCAATGACCGCTAATGCAAGGTGATTCTAACGAAGCGTCTACGGGGCTGAAAATAAATCTGACATTATCCTCTCCCCTGGCTGCCGTCATCTGTCTCACGCAATTTTTTTTTCTTCTAAAAGTCTTTATAACACCATCATGGAGTTTTTCTTTTATTTCAGCAAATAGGATTGCAAAAAATTACTTTCTGATTCACTGCGCTCTAAGTTTACCAAACCATGACTCCTTCCGTTATTGAAAAACCTGAAAATGGGGGTCAATAGCAAAAGCCACCTTAATTGATGAAAAATGTGAGACAAATTCAAGATAAGGGTGCAAAAAAAGTCCTTGCACAATTAAACTATACTTGAAATGAACGTGGATCAACAGTGTCTATTAACAGCATTACATCTGGATTTGCAGCATGTTGTAAAAGATATTAATTTATGTAATGTAATGTAATGTAATGTTTATTTTATATTTAATGTATAGTGTCAAAGCCCACATTCTCAACATGTCCAAACTACCAAAGTTACAGTTTAGCATTTTTAATTATCAGTTTTTGTTATTTTAAATTTCGCTGTTCATTCTATTTCAGTTTGGTTTGTTTCATTAAGAGTTTTGTTAGTTATAGTTTGGTTTTTCTATTGTGAAAGAAATTCTGTTTGGCTTTTTATATATTTAGTTTCAGTTTTAGTAATTATCGTTTAGCAGAGTAAACAGATTTCTGCGGAATTATTTTGGGGGTATCACAACTAAAACCTTAATATATGAAATAAAAAATCATATCTTTTTAACTTTTACTTAATGTTTAAATGCAAATCCAATTAAATTCACTTTATTTGGTAAATAAAGCAAATTTGTCATATAATATATCTAGTAAAAGACAGAAAATATTACTGTACAAACTGCATTATACATAAATCAGATAAAAGATTTTCACTATAGTCAATAATATTACTGTAATTAATTAAAAAACTGAATCAATATAGATTTACACACATTTACTCAGATAAAAAAAACAGAATTAATGATGGGCTAAAAATCTGTGGAAACCTGCGAAAAATCTGCAGAAAATCTGCGGAATTCTGCACGCAGATTCCGGATGGGCCTACTTATTACGTGACTACTGTTAATTAAGATATTAACTGTTCATTAGTAGTTATAAAGTATGATCTTAATCTACATCCCTAATCCTACTCAAAACCTAAACCCAACTTATACCTTACTAACTATTATTAATACACAGCTAATAAGTAGATTATTAAGCTAGTAGTTTTAGTTAACAGTTTGTTAATTTCATGACATGACCTTAAAACAGTGTTACCTGTTTTTTTTTCCGTATTAATCAGAGATTTTGTTCTAACCATCTGCAACACCGTCTACTTCCGCAACATCACGACTCATCAACACCACAAAATAAAGCCAATGATCACCTTAGAAGCTTATCATGTTCATTATTCAATGTTAAATCAGCTTTAACACTACTTTACATGACATTAGTACCCATTCTGAAAGCAGCAGTAGATAGTTTACCTCAGATCTGGAAAATAACTAGCAAACATACAGTACAGTTTAAACAAAAATGTTAGAACTGCAAACTAACAACATCGGTCACTCATGTAGTGAATTAGTCCATTTAATTTAACTTGTTATTATAATTATTAATGTTCATAACTAAACGAGCTAATTCACTACACTCAACATGCATTTTTAATACTATTAATGAGGTTTAATATCAGGGTATATGCAGGAATCCTAAAGATAATTTCGATACCTTTGTAAGACTTTTTAAAGACCTTCTCAGATTATTTTAAGACCTCATCGCCACTTCAAGCTCTTATAATTATCAAACTTTAACTTAATAAACAGTTGCAGTTAAATAATTAAATGGAGCAAAACTATGCAACAGAACTCAGATAAGAAAGAAACAAAGCTTGAAAGAATAAATTACCCGATTATTTTCAGCGACAGGCTTCAGCCACTGTTTAAACTCGTCTTTCAGTGAACTATTCTCTCCTTCTGAAGGACTGTGGAATATAAATATTTTGTTGTGTTGCTCCTGATGCGAGCATCTAAACTGCTTGTTGCAGGAACATGTAACATTGGATGTTGCTAAGACATGATCTCTATGCCATTGGGGTGTTAAATACAGCTCAGGTATGTCCTTTATCACAAGTACTATTTTGTTTATTGCACATAATGTACCAAAAAAAAACCAAAAAAAAAACGAAAGAGACTCCAAGAGAGGATGAGTAGGAAGAGAGCAAGAGAGGAAGGATGGAGCATTCAGTTGAAGGATACAAAAAAAAGCAGGAACTGGCAGAAAAATCTTCATAGATGCACAATGACTCCTCTGGTGAGAGACGCAGAGGTGTGAAGAAGCCTGTTAGCGGCACTGATCTGTGAGACAGCCGCTAAAACACAAGCATAGAAATGTACTTATGTTGTAAAAAGCTCAAATCGTACTAAGATTACATATCCTGAAGGAAATTCTGCAGTGAGTAAAGCAGCAATGTAATCTCGGGATTTAGGTTTAGTTCTTTGTAAATGAAATGCCTGAGCTACTTTGTCATGGTCAGAACGATTCATTAGACTGAGCTCTCTGAAGGCACTTGTATTCGCTACAGAAAAGTTCTTTTGCATTCTTTGTTTAGTCTTAAAACATATTTTAAATACTTCAGCAGCGGTGTACGGTTATTGATAAACACAATGCTACCAGCATTGCAGTGTTTAGATGAATATGCAAATATGTGCTGCCAGCTTTCCACTCAATAACAAAAACATGCAAGTAAAATGAAAGCAGTAAGTAAACAGCAGTTAAAGGTGCAGTAGGTGATCTTCCACAACGCTAACAGCTTAGCATAAATCTCTGACTCACAGTCCCTCCTCTGCCGTCTAGAGCCACGCCTCCTAAAACACGAGCACCGCTAAAGAACCCTCTCTCATGTGTTAAAAGCGACTAGTGCTTGTCCTGCGGCGTGCAAGCCAAACTGACATGCTATTTCAGAGTGAATATTTAGAGCTGCATGGTAAACAATATAGGGAGAGACTAGGCGGAATAGCAGTTATTTCTTGTGTTTTGTTGTTAAACTAATTAAAATCTACATCATCGATGCTGTAAAAGGTCCCTTATGAAACTGAAAATACTCTTATCAATCTTTCATTGAAAGATTTTAGTGGCTGAACAACACTTCTGTGAAGATATAACCCATTTGTAACAACAACATCTAACGTTACACTGCAAAAAATGCTTTTCTTGCTTAGATTTTCTGTCTTGTTCCTAGTCTAAATATCTAAAATTTCTTATATCAAGAAGCATTTTCTAGACAAGCAAAACAAGACAATATGTTTTGCTTGTCTAGAATATTCTTCTTGATTTAGGAATTTTTAAATATTTGGAATTGAAACAAGACAACAAATCTAAGTAAGAAAAGCATTTTTTGCAGTGTACATCAGCTTTGCGTGAAGCTAAAACAGTTTTAAAACAGAACATTACCTGTCTAAGAGAAATCCTTCAGACATTGTCATCCTTTCTCCAACGTGCAAAGGTAACTCCAATATTGATTCAGGTTTTTGAAAAGTTTTGATTCAGCAGGTTTTTACCGATCGCACGCGCGTGCTCTCTCTCGTGAACGTGCGGTGGTCAGCGGAGATGCTTACAAATGGCCAAATTACCCATATCAAACACAGCTGAACCAATTAATTAGGACCTAAACACCACGTGATAATTACAGGCAGGTGTGTTTGATATGGGTTGCAACTGACATCTGCAGGAAGGTGGCTCTCCGGGAACAGGGTTGGCGACCCCTGCTCTATACCTACTCACAGTTCTGTCCAAACTGCTTACAAAAGATGATTTTCATCATAGGTGCCCTTTTAAAATCATTCAATTTCACCAAAATACTGCTTAGTGTTAACAGATTAGTATGAATTAGACTGAATGCTTGAGGAATATCAATACAGTACTGACTTGCAAACAATAAAAAAAAGGCATCTGAAGTCAGTCAGGAGCATCGTTCGTTCTCTGCTGTAATGTTTGTATGGATTTGATTTTGTCTGTTGCAAACTCTGAGCAGATATGTGTGTTCTGTTCAGTGCATGGACTCGTTTGAACCCAAGTAGGAGTGCTGACAGCAGAGATGGCGAGAACCCATGTTTAAAACTGCTGTTAATCTACATTTATAAATAGACTGTGAAATTAAGAGTTTCTCTGTGTGTTGGAGAGACTGGCCTCCAATCTGAGTCAGAGCAAACAGACACTGCCCACCCGCTCACAAGTATGAGGGCATCAATTATATAAGATATTGTACATTTCAACAACACACAAAAGAAAAACCATGGAAACACTGGTCTTTCGTGAACGCTGACACAGACTTCCCATCCCCTGTAATAAGTCCTGAGGGAGGTGGGCAATCCTGTACCCTGAGGTTTTCCTGACATCCTTTTCTACCTCTCCTTAATCACTACAACACACTCCCATGTGAGTCGCTGTTTGTTTAAATGTGTATGTGTGTGTGCTTAAAAAAAAAGATGTAACAGATAAACACTGCCCTCTGCAGTACACTTTAGAGAGAGCAGTCCAGATTAATGTAATCAAAAAATAATGCTGAAAAAAAGGATTCATTTTATTGCGATGAAATACATAGAATATTTTAATAATGTTAATAAATTTAATTTGTAATATCTGTTTTATTAAATCAAGATAAAAAAATAATTATATATGCTAGGTGTTTAATTTCATTATACTGGAAGAGCCCCCAGCCACCCTCTTATGTACGGTGGCTGAAAGATGTTTTGTATTTTGTCAAACTAGAAAGGATTAGATACTCCCACCAAAGACATAACAGAACGCTTGTTAAAACATGGAAGCCCTTTTTTTCTTATGTAGAAACTCTCCAGCTGGATCTAGATTGATCACCCTTGCCAGCTCTTGACAATAATAATATATCAGTTTGTAATTTTTAATTACTTAAATTGTAACATTGAGATTGTTGCATAAATGTAGACATTTGCCTCTTATTTAGTTGTATAATAGGGTTTTATCTTATTTTATTATTTTCTTTTTTTTTCTTTTTTTTTCAAATTACTTTACAAGGGTTGTTTTATAAGTTTATAATGTGTAAAATGTAAATATGTGAAATAAAATGTAAACAATTAAATAAATAAAAACAATTACTATTTTTCTTCAACTATTTTCAACTAATCAAGTAAACAAAAAAAAAGCCTAAACATTTCCTTTTTTCCTTAGCGATTTAATAGTGTTGATTTTGACATGGAATTGATCCTGATTTTGGTAAAAAACATAAAAAACAAAACAAACATAAAAATAAAACAAACAAAAAAAAATCTGAAAAAATTGTAATAACAATAAAATAACACAAGGATAATGCACTGAACTACTGAAACGTATTTAATACTCTATATTAAAGGATTTTTGTTGATAGCAGCTTAAAGATGCCTCTCATATGGAGAATGAAGTTACATGCATTGCTTAAGTGGGAGTTTTTCACAGACTTCTATCAAATCTGATCTTTATTTTGTATTATATATTATTGTATTATATATATTTTGTATTATATATTAGATTCAAGTCAGGTGATTGGGTGGGCCATTCCATTCTATCTGGGATTTTCTTTCTCTGAAAGCATTTGAGAGTTTGAGCTGTGTTTTGAATCATTGCCTTGCTGAAATGTCCACTCTGGATTCATCTTCATCATCCTGCTAATGTAGATGGTTGACTGAAACAGCTAATATTCATTTACAATGACAAAGGGCAGAGGGTTGCTGAGTATCTACTGAGAGATTTCAGCTGCTGTCTGGGCTTTCCTCACCTCCCTTTCTTCATGTGTTCAATACGTTTTTCCTGCATCATTTTATTTTATTACACATAAATTCATTTGTAAACTAATTAGATTTGTTTTCTTTGCATATATGGATTTCTTTGGTTGTTATTTCTTTGGTAAATGTTCTGGTGTGTTTGTGTTTGTGAGTTTTTGAGCATGTTTAGACCCTCAAAAATGCAATTCATTCCGGAATTAAATAATAATAATAATAATAATAATAATAATAATAATAAAGGAACAATTCTGAGGCCTAGGGAGGTGCTCGGTCCCTAAAAATAAACAAAAAACAATATTTGTTGTTATTTTTTAGTGTTAGAACTATTTTAACGTTTTAAATAACATAACACGTTTTATTTTGATATTTTCTAGTTCCTCGTCTCACACATTAGATAAAATGAATAACCCTGGTCTCCCCCAACAACATTTTCCTCAGAAAGATCCCCCTACGCAAGTAAAACACAAACAAATACCAGCTCATTTATTAGTCTGTTTTCAAAAAAGATTTCCCACCTAAAGCTGTTGACGCATATCTATGTGCATGCCGCTTCCCGAGGGCAAAAGATGCCATATTATTGGACTGCAATCAGCATGGAAATCACCAGACAACCACACCCAGTGCAAATAAAAAACAGCAGGAGAACTTGACAATAACCAACTGAAAGAGAAAGAGCTAGAATAATTCCTTCATAACCACACATAACGAAAAATACAGGCTCCCAGTGTGGCTGTCCAGACGTTGCGGTCACTTGTGTTGAATGAAAAAAAAAAAGAGCTTTAGAGCATCCACTGGATTTACTGCTGCCTCTCCATAAACTTCACTACCATTCCAGATGTTTCTTTGGAAACTGGGTCTGCCACATGCAGAACTCGCCACATAACACACTGGCAAATATGAGCAAAGAATATGAATAGCATCTGAACAATGCGTTAGGTATTCTGGGAGACTGTCCAGGTGGGAGAGAAGGGGTGGGATGTTTTAGGATAAGTTGGGTCATGTCTGCGCTATACAGGCTGTTGAATGTGTTAATGCGCATCTGAGCTTTTCTTACCTGTTGAGGATTATTGGGCATGTATGGAAGCATGGTGGACACGTGAAACATGATCTCATAGTCCTGATAGGTGGTGTACAGGGAGTGTGTTCCAGTTGAGTCCGCTATAAAACACACATAGGCATATTATTAGTTGCTGGAGATATTTTTTTTCTACGTTTACCTAACAACGATGTAGCCAGAAATTAAAAAGCTTTTCCCTCACATTTAAAAATAGCTTCACGACATTTAGTAGTTTAAACGATATTTTCAAAATGATCAACGTTCACTGTGAAAAATGCAGTTTTATTTTCTTACTTAGAGTTTTTGTCTGGTTTCTAGTACCAATATCTAGTAAATTTTTTAATTAAAAGTCATTTTCTACACAAGCAAAAATATTGTCCCTTTTTAAGAAACACTAAAGTCTAAATTAAGTGAGTTTTTCCTTAAAACAAGGAAAAGAATCTGCCAATAGGCTCAGTAAAACAATCTTGATTCAATTCAAAGACAATATTATTTTGCTCAAGCCATTGTCAGATTATCTAGCTTGTTATTTTGAAAAGCTAAGTTAATTTTGTCTTATTATTTATGATAATGAGAAAAAATTGTTAATTCTGTCTAGAAAATGCTTTTTGATTTAAGGAATTTTGAGATATTTGGAATAGAAACAAGACAAACACTCTAAGAAAAGCTTGAGTGCTGTAACCTTAGTAAACAGTACTTTCAGGTAAGTGACTACGAGTATTCAGTGGCTCAGCACTGGTGTGTGTGTGTAGAATTTGCAGTGTGTGTAATACGCGCCAACATTTTTCTTTTAATGTGAAGTAAATCAACACATTGCTGATGAAGTGTTAGTAAACTGTACCATGTTTTTGGATGTTCACAAGGACAAAATGGCATTTTCAAAAACTTCCACTTTAAAACCATTTTTCAGATATTTTTAGTTACAAAAACAGTCATTTTTTAAATGAACATGCAAAACAAAGGAAAAGTTTTCAGTTTTTGGCTCCACATCAGCAGTGTAAACAGCCCCTCACAGTGACATGCAAAACCACATAAAAATATTCTTTAAAAGTTCCAATTATTTGCCTAAATTGACAAAATTAAAGCATTTAACAATTTTTTTTAATAAAATCTACACACACATTTACCCACCAATTTATTCAGTACAACTGCTTATTTGAATAAAAATGTCTAATCAGCAAATCACATGGCAGCTCAATGCACTTAGGGGATAGTTCACCCAAACCACTAACCAAGATAACCACTGACTTCCATAGTAGGAAAAACAAATACTATGAAGGTCATAGGTTATGGGTTTCCAATATTCTTCAAAACATATTATTTTGTTTTCCAAAGAGCAAAAAAAAACTGTTTGGAACAATTTAAGAGTGTATAAATGATGACAGAGTTTTCATTTTGTTTGATTACTGATTTTCTACTGGCTGTTTTGAATAAATAAACTTTGCATTTGGCTGCGTTTCTACACCTAAAATTGATCATGATAATAATGCAAGGTAAGCAAACAGCCTATTTTTGACCTTGTTTTAGCAGAATTAATTGAGGGATTTGACAGCAGTCCTAAAATATATAACATATTTCAAACGTACTGTGTATACACAGTATTTTTTTCACTATTTTTATTTGTTGGGTTTTAAGCTTTTAATTTAGTCCATTGGAAAACTTTTATTTTAACGATTAACAAATTAGTCATAGCCCACATCCCTAACAGTAAGACAATAGTACCTCAATCCTTAAATATCCAGAGGATACCAACGAGGTCAGCAGAAAAACATCTCTAAATGAACGAAATCTCAAACCTTGAAGTAGATGAGCTACAGCAGCAGAAGATGAGCACAGCAGTTGTCCTGTCAGCTGAGAACAGCAAACTGAGGCTACAATTCACACAGGCTTGGAGTTGGACAATAAATGATTAGAAAAAGCGACGAGATGATCACAAAGTTTCCCTGTCCTGGACCAGGCCTAAGCAGCTGCTGTGGTAGTCATGGAGAAGCAGCGAGCATAAGACTGATTCCTGTGACGCTCCAGAGACATTCGAGTCTTCGCTGAGGTCCAGCTTCCAGCCTCCGGCGCCTAGACTGCAGCTCTGCACAAGACGTTTGGCCAGAGGAAAAATGGTCGTGCCAAACTGAGCCTGGTTTCTCTCGAGCTTTTTTTTTTTTTTTAATTCTTTACTTTCGCCAATAGGTGAAGTTTTTTTATTTGCCGCAGTCGTCACTGGCTTGCATGGTTTGGGATCTGTAGAGCTGCGCATCGATGGATTTGCTCTTCAGTGTTTGGACTCTCAGTAGTGATTATTAAAGCACACTGAACTGAGTTAAACTGAACTTAAACTCTGAAAACTGAACTACACTGTTTCAATTTCCTATGATCTTCTATGTGAAGCTGCTTTGACACAATCTACATTGTATAAGCGATATACAAATAAAGGTGAATTGAATTGAAAAAGCTGAGTTTCCCTAAGCCTCGACTTCTGCAGCAATATTCAGATGGTAAGTTGAGCATTTGGCAAAACAACATGAAAGTGTGAATAAATCCTGTCCTGTTGCAACACTTCAGGCTGCTTGTGGTATATTGGAGAGGGCGAGGTTTTCTTGGCACACTTAAATGGCATTGCCTGCCTGAGGATTGTTGCTGACCATGCTCATCCCTTTATAACCACAGTGTGCTCATCTTGAGATGGATATTTCCAGCATGATAATACACTATATCACAAATCTCAAATCATATCAAACCTGACAATGACTTCTCATTCAGCTGATCGCAAACCAATCGGGCACATTTTGGATTTGGTGAATAGGAGATTCACATCATAGAATTTTGTCTTCAGCACCTTGTTGAATCAATGCTAAACCGCATTTACGCCTATCAGCAATGACCTCGAAAGAAAGTATTAAATTTATTGTATTACTTTCATTCAAGTTTGGCTCAAATGTTCACTAATACTATTTGAAGAATTAAACCAGAAAGATACAAAGAACATGCTTCTTTACTAGTTGCTAGATGGACACCAATATTAATTTTGTCAGCATACAAAGACAAACCGTTAGCTATTCGGGTTTCAAACCACACTCCCAAAGATAGTAGTGAGTGACTATTGGCATAATTTAACCCTAACATATTACACTCATTTGAAGTGTCTGTACCTTCTTCATGTTTTAGATACTCCTGCTGACCCACTAGAGTTTTTGTATGAGACCGTAATTTAAAAGCATCGCTATAAACGTCCATGCGTGGTGACTCATTTAATGTAACATCTGATATTCTGATTTTCAAATATGCATAATAACATTTACACTGCCTAATATTGGACATATTCTTGTATCTATGGCAGATGATGGGTGCTGCAATGTTACCCTGCACTGCAGTGGATTACAGCAGTTGATTTTCTCCCAAAACACATACTGTCTATTTAAAGGGTCACGAAACACCAAAACACAATTTTTGAGCTGTTGACAGTCGTATGTGTCCCACACTGCTAAAAAAACACTATTAGGACACCTATATTTCACTAAAAAGTGTAAATTGGTTGTTTTTGCGTTATTTTAAGCAAATTCGAACTTCCGGTTTGAAACTAATTTTTGAAGCTGCGTCACGGTCATGACATAATAGCGTTGCATTCCAGCGTGCAGACTGGACGTCTGTGCCAGAGTGTGTCTTATTACGTCTTACAGTGTGAGTAAGGCTTGGTTCAAACCAATCAGCGCGCTCTATTGTGCAACTTCATTAATATTCATTACTGTCACAGTGTTTAGATGGCAGAGATGCCACATTGTGTTGGCAAAACAAGCGTGAAGTGTTGCTTTTATAGTTTGCTGCCGTTAAGTTTAGTTTTCATTTTCTCTCTGTGAGAGCGCAGCTGGCGTCACGTATGGATTAACAGTGTACACGACGCTCGACAACAATAACTTACGTGTCTAAGGAGGATTATTGTTTACCTGAGATCCGGATTCGCTTGTAGTGTTCTCTTAATAAAGACGCGGCTCTAGTTGCTGTGGATTGTCCTGTCTCTACAGATTTGATAAGTGAGCGACCAGTGCTCTTTGTTTATTCAGTTCGTATTTTATTCGTAACGAAAAAACTATTGCACCGAGTGTAAACAAGTTAGCACTACAACCAAACTATAACCTCGTGTAGGATTTTGTGACCGGAATAACACAAGCGGCTTTCTGACGCTACCTGCCGTGTGCATCTAAGTTTCCGGGAAATGCTGAATTTACTATGCGGTATCAAACATTGCATGAAAATACACGCTTAGAGCAGCTTCTCGAATCAAATATCTCGTTTGTCACGAGGGACATGAATGAATTTCCTGAATGAAAGAGCCAAACTGCAGTTAAAGTCCACCATTTAATAATTTGGCAAATAATTAGACTACAGATGTCCATGTAAACACAGTCACATTGTCGGCTGTGTGTGTGTATTTTGACTCAGCGCGCCCAAATAGACACTCCCACACCAAGCCTCTTTTCTTCCTCCGACACTCCCCCCTAAACAAAGCTGGACACGCCCACTTTTCTGACTTTTTCCAAAGTAGAGGTGTGAAAACACCCTGCTGAAACGAGGGGGTTTCATGGCCCTTTAACTGGTGGAAGAATAGAGTTAACGTTAGGTATGTAACGATTCACCTGACTCACGATTCAATTTACGATACTAATCTCACAATTTTTAGGCAAAACAAAAGGTAAAACAAATTTAAGGAAAAAAGCCCCTAATTTTTTTTTAAATGCTGCAAATTTTTTGCTAAATAATATATTTTCTGCCATAAACAAATTGCAAAAAAAAAAGAATAATACAAACCAAAGAAGACTCTTTCATATATACAAACTAAACTGTGACTCTTACATTTTTAAAAAGAAATATCAGCATATTTCTGTTGTCTGGCATACACTGATGTCTTAACACATTTACAATGTCCCCTGCTAAAAAAAAATTCTTTCACCGAGGACTGAGATTGCTGGTGTGGAGAGGTCAGTCTTTCCTAAACCAGAGAGCAGAGATGTGGTCAATAGGCTCTCTGCTCCAGGGGGCTGACTACTGGCATAAAGAGGACAGAGACAGGAGTTGAAGATGATTATGAAGGTGTACTTGTATAATTAATTAGTATAAGTATCAGAAGACATTTTTAAATATTCAATAATAAGCAAATTATTAAAATACGCATTAACTAATTTAAAAAGGAGAGGTTAAAATAATCTAATAGCCTTTTTGCAGTATCTGCACACAGTTTGTTTTGGTTTGTTTGTAGTCATTTTAGTAAAAGGTAAAGCAAGTTTGCGCCCCCTCTGTTCAAAGCATGTATCACGGTTTGTTCAACATTCATGTCTATCGGATAGAATAGTCACATATTTTAAGCGATTTTCAACTGGTTCACATTAAGAATCGTAACATCCCTAGTAAATGTTCTAGTACCCGAAATGCCTTTTGTTTGAAAACATTGACAAGTTGTGATTTTTACCAAGCGCCATAAACTACTTTCTCTGGTTCAGTGTGAGCCACTGTGGAAAAGCAGATTTGAATTTAGCAGCTGATGATGTGATGCACTGAATGTTATAATCACACCGGAGTGATCGTATGCTCCAGAGACCAGCTAAAACTGATCACATTGTTTACTGTATACGAGTCAAAGGGGTTCAACCACATTTTTGGGACATATTTATATCGATTTGCAAGACAAATCTTTCCCTTGGGGATGACTTTATCTGTAAAAATGCTTTTTACAAATACAAAAAGCATTATGTAAGGGTGGTGTTAAATATAACAAGCTATATTAAAACAATTCACCTTATTATTCGCCGAAGAACGGGCGCAGCCATTGAATCGTTTTGGCTTGAGACTTCCCGTCTCCGGTCTCATTCACTTCCATTCATTTTTAGACATTAAAAACTGCTCGTTTCGCTGTTTGATGTTGCAAACTGATTTTTTTTTCTTATTATATTATTCTACTTGGTCTATATATTCATGCAACTATTTGTTTGTAGAGCAAGTAGTTTGACCATTTTTTATTTTATTCCTAATTTATTCTGTTTATTATTCAACAATCGCGAAAACAGGCGCACTATCGCATTTTAGAATAAGGTCAATAAATCTCTATGGAATGTCTGCATGTAGACATCTAAGCAAATGTGTGGAAGGGTGTGTGATGAGCATTCAAAATGATTACATACAGTAAATGTTAACTTAAAAAGAGTATTGTGTAACTGCTTCACCAGAAAAAGGATTGTTTAAGAGGTCCTGAGGAAAATTCTCCACTGATAAAATTATATTGTAAATCCATAGAGCTACTCAGTGTGGTGTCAAATATAACCAGGAGATTGCCAAAATGTATTTCACACTACGCTTTTGACGGTCGCAGTGAGTTAGAACAAGAACTCAGATTAGCATGGAAGAGATTGATTTAAAGCTTGACACTTTATCTTGTTAAGCCTTTTAAGCACAAGTGTAACAGAGACAGAAACTCATGCTCACTTTTGGTGTCTAGCTGGGCAGCATATTTGTTGAAACCCCTCAGACACACAGTTTCTCCCAGCAGCTCGAGGAAGGCGGTGAAGGACGGCGTTGCCTCTTCATTGTTGTACATCTCCTCCTCCGTGCTCTGCCCCGCTCGACACAACAGGATCCCAACTTTGTGTTTCTGACTGAGCTGCAGGACACAATACAACAAAGTCACACACAAAAAATATTTAGACACCTTCATGTCCTCACAAATTGTTTGCTATATTCCTATTATTATATTGTTTCCCTAATAAGAACTGATAAGAACTCAATTCATCTATTGTGATAATGTCAGATAACTTTAACAGAACTGTACAGTATGCATTACATTATAATCAACCAAAAATTGACAACTGCTAGTTTGACTATATTCACACAACTGTAAACTCTCTGTTGGGCTTTATTGAAAGCCTGTAGTCTCTTGACGCTGCCGATCAGGTTTATTTTAACTTGAGCCTCAATATGTTCCCAGATTTCCTGCGGCAGCTTCTTCGGTTCCTGTTGTTTTTTATTATTAAGTGTATGATGAAGTATTATGTATAACATTTACTTTATTTTCTTCACTTTGCCATTCTCATAAATGTGCATGAATTAACTATATACTGTCCTACACAGACTAAAAAAATATTAAATGTCGGCATAATTTAGAGTTTGACTATATGTGCAACTGTAAAATGTCTGTGATAATAATGGCAAAAACTTTATGGTGTTAATATAGCTCTTTTCAGTTTTTGTCTAATCAGTTATGTACATTAGAAAAAATAATGTTTATTGATTAATTACTTATACCTTTGCATAAATTAACTACATACACAACCTGACAAAAGTCTTGTAGCCTATCCAAGTTTTAGGAACAACAAATTATAACTTGACTTCTAGTTGATCATTTGGCATCAGAAGTGGCTTATTAAAAGGCAAAGGCCTCTAGATTACCCTTACTTTACCAAAACAAAATATGCCTTGATTTTTAATTATTTAATAAGGAAAGTAAGGTCTGACTTTGCTTAGACAAAAAGTCACTTAACAGAAATAATGCCCAGTATAGATATAAAGTCATGGTGAAGTGGAAAAATAATTAATAATGTGTATGACTTCAATGAGCTTGGCCGACTGCACCCATGCATCTCTGCGATGACTCAAATAACTTATTAATAAAGTCATCTGGAATGGCAGAGTTTGTCAAGATTTTTTGGATTCAGCTTCAATTCTTGCTCCTTCATCTTACCCCAGACATGCTCAATAATGTTCATGTCTGGTGACTGGGCAGGTCAATTCTGCAGCACATGACCTTTTTTGCTTTCAGGAACTTTGATGTGGAAGTTGAAGTATGATAAGGAGCGCATCCTGCTGAAGAATTTGCCCTCTTCTGTGCTGTGTAATGTAATGGGCAGCACAAATGTCTTGATACCTCAGGCTGTTGATGTTGCCATCTACTCTGCAGATCTCTTGCATACCCCTATACTGAATGTAACCCCAAACCATGATTTTTCCATCACTAAACTTAACTGATTTCTATGAAAATCTTGGGTCCACGCATGTTCCAATATTTCTTCTGCAGTATTTGTAATGATTGGGAGTTCAACAGATGATAAATCGGAAAAATCTACCTTCTGCCACTTTTCCAAAAGATCAACTAGAATTCAAGTTATTATTTGTTGCTCTTACAACTGGGATCGAAAGCAAGACTTCTGTCAGGTAGTGTAGATTCCTGCACAGACTAGTAATAAAGAATATAATGTCAGATTAATTTATGGTTTGACTATATGTTCAACTCTGTAAAATGGCTGCGATAATAATAGTAAAAAAAATCTGCAACTTGGTTAAAACTAAAGTTTTAACCAAAAGTTCCCATAATATATACAGTATGTTGAATAACCAAACAATGACTTTCAAATATTATTTGTAAATTAGTAGACATTAATATGGCTCTTTCGCATCAGTTATGTACATTAGAGTTTTGTTGCATCTAATTTTGTTAAAATAATGTTTAATAAATTACTTTAGATTCATGTGTGCTACCATGATAGTGTTTAGTAGACACTGAGCACCTTCTATGTATTTGTATGTAGGCCTGTCACAATATAATTTTTTGTTGTACAATATATTGCACCAAAATATATTGAGATAAACGATATTATTGTCATAATGTCTGAATGACAATAACACATCACAATGCAAGAACACTCTTTCAAAGAACACAAAATATTTTATTATTAAGAACATTTAGTTAAATTATAGTCATTTTAACAATTTAATAATTAGAATCTGAAAGCATATATCCTAAACAAATAAATAATAATAAATAATAACAACAAAGTGTAAGGTAAAATGAAACGGAGGCTGTGATATCTGCTACCAGATCTATTTTCAGTTGTCAGACAGCCACATGAAAATATACAATAGTAATTTATAGTAAATACTACAGTGTTTTTTTTTTAAATTCCACCAATTCTGGCTCCATAATAGAGCAAGTTTCTATTGACCCCACTGTTAAAATGGCCAACTTCACAGCAGAAGAAAAAGTGTTTACAGCCTGGTAAAAATAACGATTTGGGTTCATATAGCTAATATTATCCTTCATGAAAACTGTGAGGGGGTAAATTTTTTTATAACTCATCCGTTTCATTTATATTAAGTTATATTAGGTCTGCATAATTAAAGGTGTGGCCATTTGAGTGACAGCTAGGTCTCGCTGGTCGCCGTCATGTCCCCTTAGCTGATTCCGGCTGATTAGCCGCTGAACTCGGCATATAGCTCATATTTTTGTTTTGTTTTATGCGGCTTTACACAGTCAGTTGCCTTCTGGAATTATTCCTTACAATTATCAGATGAGTGTAATAAGTAAATTTATAAACTTATAATATATATACCATATCTATAAATGTATTTGTTTTATTTAAGATCATTTATGATTTATATTTTTCTTTAGACCTGTAATGCACTCCAGAATCTAACAGATTGATTAGCTGTAGGCTCTAGAATAGTCATCTAAAACATCATACAATGTTATACCTGGATTAAATAGCCTTGCATTTACTAACACTAACTATATCTTAAGTATTTGGAAGTAATTCGCGTTTTCCTGTAGAAAAGCACCATAAGAACAATGCTTAGTGGCTCAATGTATTACAACAGTGTTTTTAAAAGTCTAAACACTTTATTTTCCCAAAGAAAAGCCTGCCTAAGTAAAATGCTAACAAGTGTATGTAGCTCTGCCTCTATGGAATCCCCTGGTCGGTACGATGACGCGTGAACAAAATGGCGACGCTTGGCCACCCTTACTTGTAGCTTCTTTTGCGTTCTTCAGAAACCTATGGGTGACATCACAGATACTACGTCCATATCTTTTACAGTCTATGGACAGGCCTATTAGTATGCTTTGAGATGAGTGCCTGTTCATCACATGACTTCCTCATCACCACATGCTTTTGATTGTTTTTGTCTGTGTAACAAAACTACACTGTGTAGATGTTAGTACTTCAAAACATTAACACTATAAACTACAGATATATGGTAGTTATCTAGAAAATGTAGAAATTTCTTATAATCTTTACCATATAACTGTAAAACAAAGCAACCACAGATGCTATTTTTGCCCTCAATTTTACATATAATTATTATTATTTTATAGTCTATCATTAAATTTTTGTAAACAATAATAATGGCAGAACTTTTGATAGTTTACTCAATCAATCAGGAAGTGCAATCGTTCCAACCGCCCACTTTAACTCACCCCCTGCTCATCCAGCTTAAGCAGTTGCTCCGTGACCTTTGGTGTGCTGAGAGCCAATCGGAGGCAGGATATGCTCAGCTCTGGCAGCACGTACTCCAGAACCTCCTTTAAAGGCAGACCTCGAACCGTTCCGTGCTTGGCCGTGGACAGAACCGCGTCCTCCAGGATCGCTCCCCGCATCGTGACCATCTGCAGCAGCCACGAGAGACCATGTGGGAAGCAAACACAACACCATCAAACGCCGTCATATGACTGACCACATATCCTCCGAGAGCATGTGACTGAGCATGAGAATGATTATAAATGGCTGCCCAGAAGTGCCCACTGTGTGGCATCCTTTCCCCACTGCTGCATGCAGCGCCACATCCTCTGCTAAACTCACACATGCTGATGCTAAAGCCATTTACTACTGTGAAGCGTGTATAAATAGACGGAAATGCTAAGATATTTAATTGAGTTTGCATTTGAGGCATATTTTTAAGCTTCTGTTTTCTTGTGGCATTAGTCACGCATCTGATGATGACATATGACTGGTCACATGGACAGCCACCAGTTCAATCATTTAATGTCTGATCAGAATAATGGTCATGAACTAGCGTGCACATGTTCGGGGCTGTTTGTTTTGAAATGAGCTGTGAGAATCTTCCCTGAGAGTGAGGGCGCATGAGGGTGAATGAATTGAAGACGCTGCATTGTTCAGTGTGGGTGAGTTTGATGTGTCCAGGCAGCCATGTAATCTGACTAAACCCAGCAGAGCAGCAGTCATACCAGTACAGCTCAGCACTTTTCAAACACGCCATTATTAGGCAAAAAAGACTGCATGACCTTTATCTCCAATTTTGCAGGCATGGCACCACATGCACACACACACAGATTTTCAATTCGCTGTGTAGAACAGTATTTAGGATAGTTGATGGATAGATTCGTAAACATTATATGAATGCTTTTAGAAAAAAATGGCATGGATGCACTCATGGTAAAATCAAAAGCTACAATAGAAATTTTAAGAGAAATAAAAAAAAAACATGTAAAAAAAAAAAAAACTAGCTAACACAAAGTTTTTTTATTTGGTTTAATAATTAATATAGAATCTAACAGTACATTTAATTTAAATGTGACCATGAACCAGGATGCAAATTATAGGGGGGTTTAGGGAGGATAGGGTTGGGTGATGTCAACCAATTTGGCATTGTACGATGTCTAACTGTAATGTGAAACATCACGATGAACAATGACATTGTCGACGTAGGCAACTGAATTAATTATTTATTAATAATTCGTAATTTCATAACAAATTCGTTATTTGTAACCAACTACTTGACCCGCATGGTCTTTGCTTTACTCATAACCAAATCATAAATAAATAAACATAAGTTACACACAAATGACCGCCTGTCAATCACTTTTTCCACAGGACTGAATCGGCAGAGTGATCTGTGTTGTTATGAAGGCGTTGACAAACTTGGTTGGTAAAAAAGGTGCCCAACCAACAGAAACCAACCAACAGTATTCTGAGGTTTTCACTAAAATAACTAAGTACAAGTGTGAAAGCGAAAGATTGAAGCAGTGTACTGATGCTGTGACACGTTATCTGATGGACTCAAAAGACAGAAGAGTCCTTAGATAGAGACAAGATTAATTAAATATTACTAACAACAGCCCTTTAATACTGGTAAATTATTTTCTCTTCTTTGTATTTTAAATAATAATGTTAATAATTAAAATTAATATAAAAAAAATCATATTAATACTATAAATTTACCCTTTTTCAAGAGCTCACACTCAGATATTGCTTGATGATAATAATAGCAAGATTGGCATGCTGACCCAGGAGAGAACCCTGAGAACGGAGATAATTAAGCCCAGGTCAATGAGCATGTAAGAGGGATACGAGATCAGGTAGTTCTCTAGAGCTCCCCCTGGTAAAGGAGGAAAGGAGAAGATGGGGTGGATGAGGGGATTCTTCAAAGAATGAAGATGAGGGAGTAATGTTAAGCCTGGTTTATACTTCTGCGTCAAGTGACCGGCGTAACCCACGCTGCATGCAACGCGCGTAGCTGTGCATTTATACTTCTGCGCGCTGACTTTGTTGGTCTGCATTAACACTTCTGAAACGCTAGTTGGCAGTGAGGTGTTAATGTTCCTCTGTGTCAAGTTTCTTCGCTGGTATTTTGCTTTTCCTGAACACTTCCTGATTGTACAAGTGGTTAAAACTCGCTCATTTTGAGGCAGAAACCGGCGGACATGCAACAACTTTAACTATGAAGTAAACACAAAACAAAACTATCCATCCGGAGCTCCTTCACGGGACTCCACACTTGAAAACAATCGCTGCATCGGGCTCGGGCCATTTGCTCGGCTCTCGGTCCCGCCCACACTCGTCAGCGCTACCAAGCCGACCAATCACAGAGCTTGCGCTACGCGTCGTTTTAAGAGTTTCAAGAGTTTCAAGAGTTCAAACTGGAGGAAAGGTGGAGATGGGGTGGATGGGGGATTCTTCAAAGAATGAAGATGAGGGAGTAATGTTAGTCAGGCTATTTATTGTGAGTTTGGAATGATTGGCTTACTACTAATGATCATAGATGAGAGACCAGCCACCATTAATCATATCACATGCTCCTCTCGAAATTAGTTTGCAAAACTTCACAAAGCTAAATCGATTGTTGTTAATGATTGTTTTAATACAATATCTCCATATAATGTGTTTGCCATAATGGTGTTTGGTATATGTTTATTCTAACCCAAGGTATTTCCAAAGGAACAAGGACTAGTTGAGCATGAAATCACCATGTGCAAGAAAATGTACTGTTGCCATGTCGAAAAATGTGCCATTTCACAGATCTAACATACGGATACACGTTATTTCTTCCATAAAGGAATAGTTTGCCCAAAAATAAGAATAAAATCTTTAATTCACTCAACTTTGTCTTTTCGAAACTAGTTTGATTTTCATTTATCTGTCAAAGACCAATGAAGATTTTTTGAATAAAGCTAGAAACTTGTAACCATTAACACCCAAAGTTTTAGTTTTTCCTTCGATCGAACCCGATGGTTACAAGTGTTCAGCTTTCTTCAAAATATCTTCTTTAGTGTTCAACAGAACAAAGAAACTCACAAAGGTTTGAAACCAGTTGAGGGGGAATAAACAGTAAGTAAATAAAAAGTTTTGTGTGGACTATTTCTTTAAATACAACAAACACAACCAACATTGTGTGTCGTGTGCTTTTGACAATCCTGTGTACCAACAACTGTCATAAAAGCACAACATTGCCTTTTAAAATCAGTTTGTCTACATAATTTTAATTTATAAATTAAATCCTAACATGTAGCTATTCTGACACACACAGTCACCTTTTGTAGCATAAATTTCACATACAGTGAACACAAGCCTAAAGAACTCAGAATAACTTAGCATCGCATTATGAAATCTACATCTTAAAAACAAAAAGCAAACTTAAAATCCCCTACACAGTTCCCCAATGTGCCTATAAACACAGCTCTGATGGAAAACTCCAAGGGATCGTTCCATAAAACGGCCTAAACCCCTATCAAGTTTTATTGTCAGGTCTAGCACAAACAGTTTTATCAGATCGCAGTGAGAACAGCCAACAATAAGCTTCGGTTTCAGGCTCAAAGAGACGGATTAAAATAGCCAGGGAAGCCTGCAGAGACCATGGGTATTTGTGGCTGAGTGAATTGCCATGTCATTGATTTATCTGAGACTGCTAGAGGTTTAATTCAATAATTCACACATATTTCCCTGGCATACACACCTCGCTAGTGCGAAAGATGATACGGTACTGGTACTGGTCCTTTAAATCTTTGGTATCGTCCAGTTTCTCTCTGCGGATGCTCAGAGCCACGGGCCCCAGCTTCTCGTCAGTACCAAAGTAGTTCCAGTGCTCTGTGGAGAAAGAGATGGATTCATGAAAACCATTAAAGACATAAAACTGACAGATTAATACCATTAATATAGAAAAGAAGTGAATCTTGCAGAAAATAATTAATGAGGTGAAGACAATGCAGAGGAGAAAAGTGGAAGTTGATATGAAGGATGAGAGATGCATGGAAGGACACGGAGGACAAAGGGGGGATTTATAATATTTAAAAAAATCTCCAAATCTAGGTCACAATGGCTCTAAAATATCCTGTAGGTGCTGTTAACATTTAAGTTTAAAAGAAAACCATGGAGAAACCCAATAATACAATCCAGCACATGCTTTTGAGAAAGAAGGAAGCCAATTTTTTCAATGCTTCCTAGAGTATTTTTGCAGCACAGGATACAAGACTCTCGCACAAATGCTCCCTAATATATTTCGAGCTTGCATACATAAGATTTTGGCCGCATATGCAACTAAAACAGTTGCAATTTCAAGCCCTGCAATTTCAAATTCAAGCAGGTTCAAGCACTTTGTCCAAAATCCAAGCACTTTTCTAACCTTGAATACATTATATTCAAATTCAAGCATTTTTCAGGATTTCAAGCAACCGTACGAACCCTGTTAATTCCTATTATTAAAAAAATGTATTATTGTCAGCCACTTTTAAAAAAGTTAAATTAAAAAAGGCTACTGTTCTTAAAGTAAAAAGAAAACTGCTGTACTTAAATGTAAAGTATTTACAAATAGTAACCTATTCATCAAAACTGGAAATGTTGCTTGTATATGGGCTAAATATAGGCTATATGTCATCATACTCGTATTTAAACCATTTTTGATACATTTTGAAATATGTTGCATGTACACATGCTGCTTTACAAAACAAAAAAACTTATATATAGAAAGCACACATTATTTTACACAACCACAAACACCTATTTAACACATTTGTGATAATTATTTTACCAAAGATTCGGCATGGGGAGATTCCTGAGTTTGCAGTAGCTGAAATGCCAACACAACAGCACTGGTCTGCAAAAGCGCTTCTCTAATATCTGCTCCACAAGTGACGCACACCTTATTCTCTTTAGGGAACAGCCAGTGCTGATAACATCAGTGTAATCAATTGCATTAAAGGGTTAAAAGTGTGTTATTATAATTATTTTCTTTCATTATCCAGTATTTCTCAGGGTACCACTAGAAGAAAGCTCTCGTACCACTAGTGGTACTGTACGTGTACCACAGTTTGAGAACCACTGATATAAAGTTTAATGCACTGCAGTACACTCATTTGAGCATTTACAACATTTTGCTAATAAATACAACATCATATTAAAGGTGCAGTAGGTGATTGTCTTCAGAAACATTTTTTGTTGTGCTGGTTAAAAGTCTCTTCACATTCTGAAGTAAATTACTAAAGTAAATGATCTAAATGTATTTATATGTGTTTTTAAATTCTGGATAAGGCATAAGACTAACAACCATCCATCCAATTAAATAATGTTAAGTCAATAATACCCATAATTCTGATAGGTAGCCCAAACTGTCTGTCAGCAAATGTAGATTTGAACAACTGCGCATTCGTTCACATAGATCCACTGATGTGCGTTAATGCAGCACGCGGTTATGTGGACACAAGTGACAGTGCTAAAAACAAATGCTGAATCAAAACTTTTTAAATCCTGAATCATTATTGGAGTTACTTTTGCACGCTGGAGGATGACACCATGGCTGAAGTATATCTTTTAGATAGGTAATGTTCAGTTTTAAACATATTTTAGTCACGCAAAGCGGATGTACATTTTTTTTTTTTTTTACAAATGGGTTATATACACAGAAGTGTTGTACAGCTACTGAAATCTTCTGGTGAAAGATTGATGTGACTATTTTCAGTTTCATAAGGTCCTTTTACAGCATTGATAATGTAGATTTTTATTTATTTTAACAACAACACATCATTAAATATCTCTATACTGCCTAGCCTGCTTTACTGAGGTGAAGTAGGTTTTATATTCACATCACATTGGTTCATTTCTGAACAATGACAACCTTTGACATGGTTCCTATATTGTTTACCATGCTACTTCAAATATTCAGTCTAAAATATTCGATCTATGGCTTAGTATAAGTGTAATTCCTGCACGCCATCAGCCAACCACTAAGCATACAGTAGTTGCTTTAGGACAAAGCGTTGAGACTCATGACTGAGACTGATGAGAGAGATGACAAGTTTTGCTTGCTAACTACATAACTAAAAACATGCTAGATATAATACTGTTTTTGTTGGGAATTGTAGCATTATAAAGAACTGTAAAGTTTTCTAGCTGGTGAATGACATGATCTAGTGGGTCTCTGTCATCTTTAATATGCACATTCGCGATTTCAGGAGGCATGGCTTTGAACGACAGGGAAGGGATTGTATTTGAAAGATATTATGCTAACTGGTTAGCATTTAGGCAGGTCACCTACTGCACCTTTAAATTAAGATTCAAGATAAGAAACGTTCTGTAATTTGCCCTCTGTATGACAACACATTATATACTGTCATTAAAAACAGGTTTACATTTTAATAACCATACTGTTAAGATTTTATTATGGCTTTGAAAACACAAGACACAAGACAACAATTCCCTGCTTTTTCAAGTTGCACATAACATGAGTTGTCTGTGAAAGAGTGGTGATTCAGCGATGAAAGTGATCATGATTCATACCAATGTTATTTGCTCAGGAATGGGACAGCATGTTAGATGGCATGTTTGTTTTACATAAAACCCACAAATCACCTAAAAAGTCATTTGCCATTACACAGCTACCAACATTATCAGCTGGCATTGTTCAAAAATACTACTGTGCACACATACTGTAGAACTTTAATGTTAATAACATCAAATCCTAAATTCTTCTTGAAATTTGGACTACTGTTTTCTTAATCTGTCATCCAGTGTTCTCAGCACAGGAAATGAGCTTAGCTGTTTTGTGTCATTGAAAGCTCAGGAAACTTGAGTTGAGACAATTATTAATCTCAGGAGCATGCAGATACATTTTTTAATAACGTAGCAAAGATTTTGATACTATGCAGAGTGCTGCCCTTCCTGACAGAGGAATGCCAGGTCAGTGCTGTTGAATGGCTGGCACTCCAACACACATCCACGCGCACTGCTTTAGTGACTTCCTGACAAAGCAGAGGTATTTTTATATCTTAAACAAGGTGTTGTTAAAATGGAACATGAAGTAAACGGATAACAAGAAGTAATTGGCACCACAAGGAAAAATACCTTGGTGGCTCGGAATCCGTACTCATTAAGTTAAACATTTAACACTTCTTTGAGAAAACGCAGACCACACTGAAAAGATGGCTTAAAGGTGAAGAATCTAATTCTAAAGTTAAAATGCTTTTTCAGTTTACAATGCCGAGACAACCATAAGCTAATCATCACAGCTATGTAAGCTTAACAAAAACTGCCTGGAGTTTTTCTGAAACTATTTTTGAGTGTAACCAATCGGTGGAGGAAAGGTTCATAAAATGTATGGAATTATTTTGAGTTAGTACTTGACGGCCCTAGTTGTGAAGAATTTCCTCACTCCATCTACAATTTCTTTTGCACAAGACATTTTTTTATGTATCCATATCCACGTCATTTTGAAGTGCTTGAATTATCTCTACCATGTTATTTTAAAAGGTCCCCGTTTTCTTTTGGAAGTTTTCTACAATAGGTCTTACATACATTTTTGTTAGGACATCACATACAGTTAAAACCAGAAGTTTACATGCACTCTAAAAAAAGGAACATAACCTTTTTTAAAAAATGTCTGATGCTAAATCATACTAAATGTTTACTATTTTAGGTCTGTTAGGAATACCTAAATGATTTGCATTTCATAAATGCCAGAATAATGAGAATTTTTTTTTTTTAGAGAGAATTTTTTTAATTAATTTCTAAACAGTCAAAAGTTTACATACATTTCCTTGGTATTTTTTTAGCTTTGCTTTTAAACTGTATAACTTTGGTCAAATGTTTTGGATATCATTCCACAAGCTTCTCACAATAGTTTGAGGGAATTTTGGCCCATTCCTCCTAACAGAATTGGTGTAGCTGTGTCTGATTTATTGGCTGTCTTGCTCACACAAGCTTTTTCAACTCTGCCCTCGAATTTTCTATGGGATTGAGATCAGGGCTTTGTGATGGCCACTCCAAAACATTCACTCTGTTGTCCTTAAAGCATATTTAACTAATGCTTATGCTCATGGTCTGTTTGGAAGATCCATTTGTGGCCAAGTTTTAGGGTGCTTTTACACCTGTGAATCGATTCAGTTGTTCCAAAACATAGATTACAATTGTTACATTGTTGCTCTTTGCTCTTGGACCGGTTCGCTTTCACACTGCAAAGTTTCTTATCAGACCAAAAGAGCTAAAACAAGTCACGTGTGAGTAAACTCTCCTTACATTGGTCAGAGTGTCAGGGTTTATTTTACCGGCTCCTGCTCAGCTGTCAGGAGAGGTGGTGGTTTGGTGGTGATTGACAAGGCGCACGCGACGTGTCTGAGGAGAGATGCGGTGGGGAGGGATGAGAAGGGTGCGCGACGATGCCTATTTGAGGACCGGGAGGGAGACCCGAGATTAGCAGGAGATCATCACTCGTTTGCGGGCATCAGGAGACTCTCGAAACTTCACCGCCCTACTCATTATTCTCTCTTCATATAGCCGTAAGCCTATTACATATCCATAAAACACTGTGATATAACCGCGCTCGGATCGGGTCGCTTCCTCACTGCAATCGAACCGCTCCAGGGTTCGTTTCAATCAAGCCGAGACCACCTCACTCAGGCGGTTTTGGAGTGATTACTTTGGCGCGGAACAGAGCGCGATTGCCCTGTTCACATATGCCAAACGAACCGTGCTAGGGCAAACGAGACAGGTTCCGAAACAAAAGTGTAGGTGTGAAAGCACCCTTAATTTCCTGGCTGATGTCTTAAGATGTTGCTTCAGTATTTCTACATAAAGTTCTTTCTTCATGATGCCATCTATGCTGTAAAGTGGACCAGTCCCTCCTGCAGCAAAACAACCCCACAACCTGATGCTGCTGCCCCCATACTTCACAGCTGGGATAACGTTCCTAGGCCTTTAAGCTTTCCCCGTTGTCCTCCAAATATAACACTGGTTATTATGGCCAAAGAGTTCAATCTTAGTTCTATTAGACCACAGGACAAACCATTTTAATCTGGCTTTTTTGTTGATTCTGGCTTGTTGAATTTCCCATGTTGTAACACAAGAAAGCAGTGTGTTTTAGGTATTTCTTAAATACTATTCAACAGTTGTGCCTCCAATTAACTCAAATGTTGTCAATTAGCTTATCAGAAACTTCCCAAATCTTGACATCATCATCTGAGCTTTTCAGAGGCAGAATAATCTTATTGTATGTAAACTTGACTTTCAAGAAAAGTTATAACAATTTCTCAAAAAACATCTTCCTAATTATTCTGAATTCAGCATAACAAAAACAAATGTGATAATCCTAACCTACCTAAAAGCGAAAAAGTTTAGTCACATTAACATTTGTACGATTAACATTTGAAAAATTGTTATGTGTCTTTTAATGCAGTGTATGTAAACTTCTGGTTTCAACTGTGGATACTATTTCAGATCATCTAATTTGTCAGAGTTCCATGCAATTGCATAGATTACTTCTATTCTATCTAAAGGTCTGTGGACACCGGAAACATTTTGCTCATGCTTTTCAACAATGTTTAATGCCTTAACTAAACAACTCAAAATGGTTTAGGCAAGCACAGATTCCTAATGAAGAAGAATATGCACTGAGCTAAGATGAATGTGGAGCTGTTTATTTCGTTGGTGTCTCAACAGAAAGTGCTGTTTGATAAACAATTAAAAAATGTCGGCAGAAGGGAGGTATTATGGAGACTTGGAGAGGAATTGCAGATCAAATAGTTTGCGATGGTGAGTCCATAACTTGTACACTACCTGACAAAAGTAGTGTTGCCTATCCAAGTTTTAGGAACAACAAATAATAACTTGACTTCTAGTTGATCATTTGGTTTCAGAAGTTGCTTATATGAAAGGCAAAGGCCTCTAGATTATGATCATGCCTTGTTTTTTTAATTATTTATTTAGGACAGTAAGGACGAACTTTGCTGAGACAAAAGTCTTGTCACTTAACAGAAATATTGCAAAGTATTGAATATAAAGTCATGATGCAGTGGAAAAAATTGTGTATGACTCCATCATGAGGTTGCAGGACTGCATCCATACATCTCTGCAAAGACTCAAATAACTGATTATTAGTCATCTGGAATGGCAAAGAAAGATTCTTGCAGGACTCCCGGAGTTTATCAAGATTATTTGGATTTATCTTTAATGTCTTCACCTTCATCTTACCCCAGACATGTACAATAATTATCATTTCTGTGAGAATCTTGGGTCCATGCAGGTTCCAATAGGTCTTCTGCAGTATTTGTAATGTTGGAGATGCAGTTTAACAGATGATTCACCAGAAAAATCTTCCTTCTGCCACTTTTCCAATTGATTAACTAAAAGTCAAGTTATTATTCGTAGCTCTTATAACTGGGATCGACGACAACACTTTTGTTAGGTAGTGTAAGTGTCATCAAACATCAGGCAGTGATTTTACGCGTTCACATCAGCAGTGAAAATCGCTTGGGTATGAATGGTAAAACACGTCTTGGTAAACGCTAATAATAAGTAATTATAATTACTTATAATTACTTATAATTAATAAAACTTATAAAATATAAAACCTATATAAAAACTTATACTTATAATTACTTAATTCCCTCGTTTTTATAAGCCTACTCCGCTCTGATTGGTCAAACTGTGCTATTTGTTGTGATTGCAGACTAGTTTGCTGACTTAGATTAAATGTACAAAAATCTGGATGACGGCGATTATTTCTAGAATGGTAACCTTTATATCACCAACTCTATACTTAATAAACACAGACAACTAATTAGAGCATTTAGATAACCTCACGTCTGCAAGGATTTATCTAATGTGGTTATGAGGTGATAAGCTTGCTATTTTAAGACACTTAGTCTGTGTTTTTTTATAACACTGGCATTTTAGAAAAGAAGACCTTTAGCGAGATTAACATTTGGAGGGCAGATGTGTGGCATGAGTGCAGATTCCAGTTTGTGGCTCTACTGGCTAGTGAGAAGCATTGATAATTGTGGCATGCTTTGATAATCTTTTCCAAAGGCAAAACTGTGGGTGAAACTTAGGTTTGCAGAATGTATAAATACTAGTGCTGGGCAAAAGTTAACTGCAATTAATCACATCCAAAATCAAAGTTTGTTTTACCATAATATATGTGTGTGTATTATACATATTTATTATGTACATGTGAGGTGTCACGGTGGCACAGAGGGTAGCACAATCACCTCACAGCAAGAAGGTCGCTGGTTCGAGCCCCGGCTGGGTCACTCAGTTGACTTTTTTTGTGTGGAGTTTGCATGTTTTCTTGACAAATTTAAATTGGCCATAGTGTATGTGTGTGAATGTGAGAGTGTATGGGTGTTTTCCAGTGTTGGGTTGAGGCTGGAAGGGCATTCTCTGTGTAAAACATATGCTGGATAAGTTGGAGGTTCAATCCGCTGTGGTGATCCCTCGTTAATAAATTGACTAAGCCAAAAAGAAAATGAATGAATGATGTACATGTGATCGAGATTAGAATAGTTTTGGATTTTTTATTAGTTTTAGTTTCTATTTCGTTTTGACTTTTTGTTTTCAAATTCAGTTAGTTTTAATCAGTTTTAGAGGCAGATTTCCTAGTTTTTATTAGTTTCTATATTTTAAAATGTCTTAGTTTAGTTTTTATAAGTTTCAGTACTAGTTTCAGTTTTTTTCTAAATGAGGATATTTGTTAGGTGCAAGATTCAAAATCAACAGGATAAATATTGTATAATAAAAACTCAGTCATACATTTTTTGAAACATGTATTCAGAGAACACATGAACACTATCATCTATAACTACCATCTACCCATCCTCAAACTCAAATACAACAGGGGGCCCGTCCGTATAATAACCTATACAATAACCTGCATGTGATACAAACACATAAATAGTAACAAAACATACAAAACTTTTGCTTAGTACTAGTAAATACTCAATACAAAATTCTGTAATAAAAGTAAATAAAGGGAAATCATAAAAGAGAATAACTGAGGATAGAGCTGTGCAAAGATTTTAGAGCCACCTCTTTGATACCACAAACACTGTAGGTTTCAAATGCAGTGATATTCTGATGCACAGTGACATAACATTGTGATATGTGATTCTAGTTGACCAAACCCAAAACTGATTACATCTCGTAGTGTAATGTATTATCTAGATGGAAGCAATAGATTTCTTACCTTTCCCATAGAAGTGCTCATGGTAGTTTCTGGCCCCCAGGTCAACGTGCTCGATGCAGTGCTGCTGCAGTCTCTCTAACCTGCTGTTTTGATCTTCCGGAGACACATCCAGTATGGATACACTGGCATTACTGCAGCGTGGACGCAGCCGGGCTTCCACTGCACAAGCCTCTCCTCTTTCTGCCCATGAGCTCAAAAAGCTGACGTTACGTTCTCCGTAGCTTCCGGTCTCATTTAGGAAGTGTGGGCAGCTCAGCAAAAGCTGGTGCTGAGAGTTGGGGTTGAGGCTAGCTGAACTACCTTGCTCTAAAAGTTCTAGCCCTGGGGTTGATCCTTCTAAAAGGTCCTTGACACTGAGGTCATCAGTGCTGGAAAAGCTAGGCTCTACACCTCCCAGAGCAATAGCTCTGGAAACTGCCAATGAAACACCAGCTGAAGAAGCGGCTGAAGCTCCAGTGGCTGTGTTCCGCCGCTGGGCAGCATAGCTGCGACGAGCTGCTGCCTCGTGCAAGTCAAAAAGAATGCTCTGAGCATCATAGTGGGCAAAACTCCGCACACACAGCCATGGTTTGGAAGACAGTGTCTCAGGGGGTCTTGCATCATCCATGTCACCTCGTGGAGTCTCTGTTTCACCCCGGCTGGAGCTACGGAGTTTACGGAATAAGGACGAGGTGCCAAGAGATGATTCAGTTCCCCCACTCTTTTTACGTACGCGACTCTCAGGTCGATCGTCAAGACGTGGAGTCGACAAAAAGTTGTGTGAATGGTTTCCTTCTATAGATGCTCCAAGCAGCTCTTCAAGCTTGTCAGGAGCTGTGCTACGCTGATCTGGTCGCTCTTGTTGAAACTGGCTGAGCATGTCAAAGAAGCTTTGCTCAGACACTGCTTGTACATTGATGGAGGAGGTACTTCCATATTCACGAAACAAACGACTATCCACCTCTGTTTCATCTTGCTCACTCAATGTAATTTCACTGCTGGATCGCTGTCGAAGAGGAGCAAAACTAGAAGTCCGAAACCTTGGTGGTGTGTCTGGAGTTCTCTGTAAACCTGATTCAACGAAATCAGCATCTCTGGTAACTTGGGGTGGTAGCCTGGTCACACCTCCATGCGTAAGCCCGTCATCACTATTGAGGTCATCCGGATGGCTATCCTGGCCATTTTCAAGCAGCGATTCACGTGACAGTGCCCTGCGAGGAGGCCACTCAGCAATCCGAGCTCGAACCCCCATTTTGGGCACAGAGATGCGGGGTGGGGCTGGATCCCCCATAGAGGAGTGCCCATTATGCAGGGGTAGACGAAGGTGGGGTGGAGGAATGGGTTGAGAGATAGGGGTGGCACACACCCCTGTGTCTCTGTACATGTTTAGGAATGCCACTTTAGTCTCAGGGCCGACAATGAGGGCAGGGGTTGTAAGGGAGAACACATCCTGGTTCAAGACTGCTCGTGTTCAGTATTAGTGAGGAGACATCGACAAGTTCCACACTGCTTCCGCCTCCCACATTCATATCTTCAGTAGAAAAGGCCTCTCGCAATGCTTCAAAAGCTCAACAGTCTCTCAAATTATAGACCTGCAAAAAAGTAAAACAGAGAAATTGGCATGATTTATTGAATCTGTCTTATACACACACACACACACACACATCATATGAAAATAAATTCAATCAGTTGTAATATTTGGTTTTGGGAACGTTTTCTTCTCCTTGAGCTGCATGACACTTACTCTAAGGACTTTGGAGACCCTACTTCTCCCAAACCCATTTTCCAAATATTTTCTTTTTCTCAAAGAGGAGATGAGTTCAGAGAAAAATGCAGAGAAAAGCTGACTGAAACTAAAATGAAAGCGAGTAAGGATGTAAAATAGAGACTAGAAGAGGAATATGCTTTGAGAGAGGAAGTGAGGCGAGGGTATTTCAGATGTGTATTTCTTATACTCGTTTGAGGCTAATCTCTAGTCCTTTTTCTGGCAGATTTTATTTATTTAAACCACAAACATCATTTTGATAAGCAGCAGGCATTCACCTTTCATCTTTTGGTATCCATACTACTGGCCAGGTATATAATCAAGGAAAGTATTTAACCAAATACTATTAACTAAAACGTCTTCAGCCTAAAGATTGCTGGGTTGTTTTAATCTAGATTTTGGGAAATAATGGACCTGTTTGGCACTGTTTTGGACCTGTTTGGCACTGTTTGGATTAAAAATTTTAGGTCACACTTTTTTAAGGTCCAATTCTCACTATTGGCAAACCAGTAACTATGACTTTTAGCTAGTTGAACTCCTAATCTAATGTTTATGGCCAGTTATTAAGGTAGCAGTAGGGTTTAGCTATTGGGAAGGATTTGGAATATAGAATATCATACAGAATATGTGCATGAGTAAGTACTAAAAATTGGCCAATATCTTAACATAAGGCAGGTCTTTTTAATGTAGTGTAGTTGCACACAATAATCTAGTAGTTGGCTCTTCAATATGGTCAACTATTGTGACAGCAAACAGAAGACAAGGTCCAGAACTGTTAAGCAAATAGAGGCATCTACTCACTAAGGAAGTGTTAAATCAACAGTTATGCCAAGTGACAAGTGTGAGGCTTATGCCACACCTACTACAACTACATGACCATGCTCCCCGCAACTCAGACAGGTGCGGACAGATTAGCATCCATGAAAATCATCACCCTGGTCACATGGCAGGTATGACAGATGGAGTTCTTAGGCCAGCAGGGTGAAGCATCCAATTACCTGAGACAGCTGACTTAGAAAGTAAGATTAGGATTCTGCCCACATTCAGCTGCATACAAAATAGGTTACATAACAAGGACTCTGTGTTGGATTACTGATGGGAGCTGTTGACTGTATAATGAGGTATTCTGTTTTACAGGCTTATCCGAGAATGATGTAGCATAGGATTGCGATACGCTGCAGATTTGAAACGAGATGCTCAAACTCTGTGACGGAGAGGAAAGCCCCTCAAGTCTCTAGGTCTATCCACATGCTTCATTCCTCGCTGTGAACAAAAGACAGAAATGAAACTGACAGAAAGTCAAAGGACAAGACAAACACAAAAAGACAGGATACTAGGGAGAGGCAGAAGCAGAGCAAGCAGAGGAGCTGGAAGAGAGGAAATCTGACAGGCTTTGTGGTGAAGGAATTCTGGGAGGAGAGCGGGAGGGAATCGGAATCCCAGTGACTCGCTTTAATATGAAAGTCAGATTGAATCAGGCTTCACTGCTGCTCAGAGACTATGAAAAGCCACTCAGCACCGCCTGATCCTCAATGTAACTTCACGTTCTCACTCTTTTCATTGTCTCTCATCTCTTATCTCTTCTGCGCCACTCTATCCATTAAAATATTAGAGTACGCATCCAATGTGTGCCTCTCTGTGATAAGCAAGTTACTGTAATGGAAACGTATGAGATATCTATCAGCATACATTTATATGGTATTGTGATTTAAGGCCATGCCCACAAATACGCAGCTTATTTTTTTTTTAGTTCTTTCACAAAGGAACAAAAATGGACTGTAATGCACTGTCAAGGGACACTGATACTAGAGGAGGTATTAAAAGCCCTACACTACCTGACACAAGTTTTGTCATTGATCCCAGTTGTAAGAGCAACAAATAATAACTTGACTTCTAGTTGATCATTTGGAGTAGCAGTAGGTAGATTTTTCGATGAATCATCTGTTGAACTGCATCCCAATCAACACAAATACAGAATGCAGAAGGCCTATTAGAAACCACATGGACCCAAGATTCTCGCAGAAATAACTCAAGTTTGGAGAAGAAAGAAATCATGGTTTGGGGTTACATTCGGGGGTGAGCGATGGATCTATAAAAAAGTGGATGGCAACATCAGCAGTCTGAGGTATCAAGACATTAGTGCTGCCCATTACATTACAAACCACAGGAGAAGGTAATTCTTCAGCAGGATAGCGCTCCTTCTCATTCAGCCTCACATCAAAGTTCCTCAAAGCAAAGAAGGTAAAGGTACTCCAGGATTGGCCAGCTTGAGCTTGAGCATGTCTGGGGTAAGATGAAGGAGGATGCTTTCTTAAGTTATTTGAGTCATTGCAGAGATTTATGGATGCTCTCCTCCAAGCTCAAGGGAGTCACAATATTCATACTTTTTCCACTGCAGCATGACTTTATATTGTATACTGACATTATTTCTGTTAAGTGACTTTTGTCTAAGCAAAGTCCGACCTTACTGTCCTAATTAAATAATTAAAAATCAAGCCATGACCATATTTTATTTAGATAAAATTTGCTAAATCTGTAGGCATTTGCCTTTCATATAAGCAACTTCTGACACCAAACGATCAACTAGAAGTCAAGTTGTTGTTCTTAATTAAGCCTTGAAGGTAATTTATATCGGGATCACACCAAACAAGAAATTAAGCATTTGCCCAAGTTACAAAGTGAATGCAAATTGATGAACAGAGGCAAATCATGGTATCCGCTACATTCATTCTTCCATGATGGGGCAACACACCAAAATTCATTCCGCCATGAGGATGAATTTAAATCATTCAGTCGTTGTTTGTTTTATAGCTGGTTATAATCACACCAAAACTTATTAAAAGGTAAGTGAATTATAACAGCGCAAACTTTCTTTAGTAGTGCTGCGCATTATTTGTCTAACCCTTTAGGGTGACATGTTGGCTGACTGACAGGTGCGTGATGCATCAGGCTAGCAAACATACTGTAGCTTTCAGTTGAGATGAACAGTTTATATAAGTATACTTTATTTATAAATAAAGGTCTATGGCAGGGGTGTCCAAACTCGGTCCTGGAGGGCCCGCGTCCTGCAGATTTTAGCTCCAACTTGCTTCAACACACCTGCAAGGATGTTTCTAGAACGCCTAGTAAGAGCTTGATTAACTAGCCCAGGTGTGTCTGATTGTGGTTGGAACTAAACTTTGCAGAACACCGGCCCTCCAGGAACGAGTCTGGACATCTCTGGTCTATAGTTTTGCTTGCAATGACTTTATCTTGCTAGAGTTAATGGCTGTTTCACTTTACTTCAGGAAGCATCAATGAAGCTCTGTAGGTTTATTGGAGACATTCAGAAATATTCCTAGCAAATCTAATTAATGTCGGAGACATACCCGTTACATAAATCTAAATCGTACTCCAGCAGCGTTTATTTGAGAGCGCACAAGAAGATCTGCACTTGAGCAGTGTATATTAGAGGGGGCGTGCAAGAGGTTTTGTGCACGAGCAGAGATCCGCAAGCTCGTATAACATAAATTGGATCTCGACTTGTAATACTGCGCTCACATGGAAATCATTGGATTTCTAACCCTAAATCCTAGAGGAAACACTGCAAATTATAAATCGCGCTTGGCATTTTGCATCATTGGTGTTGTATGATGCTAACTTGTCTCTTCATGAATTTTGTTTGTTTGCCTTGTCCTGTGTCAGCCAATCAGAAAGGAGAAAACAGTGTGCACGATGATGTTATGAGGCAAAAGTCTCGGTTTAACGTTTTTGTGTGGACCAACAGTAACATGGCATAGAAAAAACCCCAGTGGTTTTAAAAATACCCGTGTTTGTGTGGACATGGACTCAAGTACTGGCCAAAGAACATCATGCAGCAACCACTGCCCTTCAAGATTAATGCCATCTACAAAACTTTTTCTCAAACATCCCTTCTCCAGGGTGAGATTTATATACAATCCCTCACCAAAATCAACCCCTTCAGGCAGATTCTCCAATACTCTTCATTTTAAGGTCAGCCTCAGCTTAAGACATGAATGTCTTCTGCCAGCACAGGGAGCTGCCCCCTAAGGCATTATCTTAACTGTTACAGAATCAATTTGGAGCGGTCTACATCAACAACAACATGCAAACCACAAATAAATAGAATACCCTGTCAAACGTGCAGATGACTTGATGTCTCCTTGTTAGTTGTATGATTATTTTTGATTGACATTTGTGATCCTGGACTAGAAAACCTTCAAGTCTATATATATATATATATACAATAATATCTTGTATTTGTCAAAATGATAGATTTTAATTTCGTGTCAATAGCCTTAAAACAATATTGCTCCATGAAGATATTTTACATTTCCAACCATAAACAGAAAGCAAATTTTTTTTGATAAAAGCTTAATTTGGATAACCTTAAAATCAATTTTCTCAGTATTTTGATTTTTTTGAACCCTCATATTACAGATTTTTGTCGCCAAACAAAGTATCAACTAATGAAAAGCTTATTTATTTAGCTTTCAGATGTCAAAGAAATCTCAATTTCCAAAGATTGACACTAGTTTTGTGGTCCAGGGTGCCAATTTATTATCAACATTTTATATTCATTAAAGTATGTGGCCAAATACTTTATTTAAATGAGCTTTTGACATGAGACAGAAGCATATTTGAGCAATACAAAAATGACTGTATTTTCATGCTTTACAAGATAGACATTTTTAACAATACAACCAACCCATTTTCAGAATTATAACACAAACTAAAACAGTTTTTACAAACTGTAAAACCCTCTTACACTCTCAGAAATAAAGTTATACAGTTGTTCTTAAAGGGTCCATATTGGTACCTCAAAAG